CAGGTTGTGCTGATAATTCGGTATTTTTGATAGATTGTCTTGTTAATCAAAAAGGAGTGGTCCGGTGGCCTGGTGGCTAAAACTCCCGCTTCACACACAGAGGGCCCGGGTTCGATTCCCGGTGGATGGAAACATTTCGACGCGTTTCCTTACACCTGTTGTCTTGTTCACCTAGCAGCATATAGGTACCTGGGTGCTAGTTGACTGGTGTGGATCGCATCCTGGGGGACAAGATTGAGGACCCCAATGGAAATACGTTAGACAGTCTTCGATGACGCACTGACCTGGGTGGCTAACCCTCCGAGGTTAAAAATCCGAACGAAGTCGATTATCTTATTATTTTAAACACTTCCTCTAATTCCCTGACATGCTAATTCTAGTTTGCTGTGCTCTCTACAGTTTCTGTAAATTTTTATCACTATGAGAGTTATATGCCTTCAAGTGAGGAGTAAATTTACAGTCTTGGGCTGTCAGTAGTTTGAGGACAATAATATGTAAACTTTAGTTGAACCTCATTGACTGGAAAATGAGAGATTGACACAAGTCATGCAGGAGCTATGTATCTATAGTGAACCCAACAAATTGATTCTTAGATGTGACTACCTTCTGGCTCATGATGGGCTATAATTAAATTTAAAGTCTCTTTGACAAATACAACTAAATGTCAACTTTGCCAGATGGACTAGTGTCATGCATGTCAATATGCTCTCCAGTGCGATCAAATTAATGAATTCAGAAACTCACAAATGTTCAAGAAATGCAGAATTATTTTATCCACAATGTAGTTAGTATTAGTAATATGCCAGACTTAACCTATATGTGGAAAATTGCATTTATCTGAATGTATCATTATATACATAACAGTAAATGAACATAGATAATTATTATTTATCAGTTAGACAAGTAGGAATTTGGGACACCTAGGTCGCAAAAAACGTCCCCCTTCGATACCTACCACTGTCATATCCACAAGTTGCTCTGGACCTATTAATTAAATGAATTATACATCTCCAGGAATACTGGTAAATATATAAATTTGTGGACTGTATATTAAAATTAAAAAAGGATTATAGTATACACACACACACACATTTATATAACAGAAGGAGAATATATCTTAATCATAACACTCACCAATTTGACTGGAGATTAAGTTGTATCATACTCAGAAAACCTCTGTCTATACATGAAAATAACAACTGGCCAGAGTTATAACATAACAGACTTATCTGAGGTTTCTGAAGCTGTCTTATACAGTCGTCTGATATCTCAAGTTATGCAGGAATGCATATCCACCAATTTCGCCTCCTATTTGAGAGGTGTCAACCCAATTTTAACCTCTAGAGCACGAAAATTCTTCCCATTTCACCAACGTTCTAATACAAATTCAAACAAAATGGCGACTGACTCTTTTTAAAAATACACTTTTATTAAATACAATATAGGGCATCTATTTACCTATAAATTACCGTATTTCCGGAAAATATACAGTATTTTCCAAGCTATAAATAACTAATAAACTTTTAAATGTGTTTAAATTTAACCATACCTTGCAAAAAACATATTAATAATAATAATAATAATAATAATCTTCATTTCTACAAGTACATACATGTACAATTTATACGGGCCTAGCTGACATCAGTGACATACTACATACTTCATAGAAAGCCGCTTGTTATACAGAGCATTTCATACAAATTAGGTCAGTTTTTGTCCCAGGATGTGACCCACCAGTCAATTAACACTGAGGTACCCATTTTACTGATGGGTGAACATGGACAACTGGTGTGAAGAAACACGCCCAATGTTTCCACCCCTCGCCGGGAACTGAACCCCGACCCTCAGCATGTGAAGCGAGAGCTTTTGCCACCAGGCCACGGGCCTGGTAAAATAAAATAACAAAAAACTGCATAACAAGTAAGCTACACAAATATTTTTGTGACTGAATTCATGCCTGCATAACTCATTATGATTGCAACCAGATACATGTATGAGCATGTAAATAGTTCATTATTGCTGTAACTTATGTATTAAAACTTTGGGGCCTAGTCCCTGGACCCATTATGTGCCTCTGCAATCTTTTGGCTGCCCACAGGATGGGTATAGGGCGCATAATAAAGATATTAAACTTACTCCTAATATGCTCACACAAGCTTGCTGGATTCTTAAGCTGCTAACACTCGAGACCTGTGTTCCCTCCCATCGTTCCTGGGATGACCCTTTTTCTTCGTATCTTTTTTATTTATTTATTTATTTATTTATTTATTTATTTATTTGAACATGATACAGAGAAGTACAAAGGAATACAGTTATTACAGTGCAACATGCCAAAGCCCCTTGTATGCAGAGCATTATGGGCAGGCTTAAAATTAACTTAAGATTAACTAAGCAATGATATATTCAGTGGTAAAAACATTATTGTAAACAGATAACAATTTAGTACAAATGAGTATTACAAAGACAGGTCATATGGTCATTTACTGTATTGCTGTGCATTCAATGGAATGGAGTATTCTGTTAGGTAATGTAATTAAAAAATAACAAAGTTTGATTGGGTCACAGGTTAAACATTTATGAGATACAATAATGAGAAACATTTATGAGATACAATTATTCAGCATTTATTTAGTTGTGGGTGAGTAAGTGATTTTTGAGAAGAGACTTGAATTTATAAACAGTGTTTCTTTTATATTCACAGGTAATAAATTCCAGATTTTAGGGCCTTTTATGTGCATTGAGTTTTTGCATAGCGTGCGATGGACACGAGGAACATTAAAGAGTGATCTGTGTCTTGTGTTATGGTCATGTGTTCTGTTGAGGTTGGTAAGGAGACGTTTGAGGGGAAGGTTTATATCAGAGTTAAGTGTTCTATGTATGTAGTAGGTGCAGTAATAAGTATGGATGTTTTGTATGGTGAGTAGGTTTAGTGTTTTGAATATTGGTGGAGTGTGCTGCCTGTAGTGGGAATTTGTTATCAATTCAATTCAAAGTTTATTCTCTATAAGGATTACAATGCTGAGTTTACAGAATTTGGTTATTGTGTGGTTTACATGTAGTAAAATAATGATTACAGAGTGTACCACTAGAACACCTAGCATGGCTAGGCATTTCGGGCTGCAGCCTTTTGTTGGGTAATTAATGGTCTGAGATGGTTTATTGTTCTTGAGCCCCATGCACAAATTCCATAGGTGAAATAGGGGTAAATAAGTGAGTGATATAGGGCCAGGAGGGCTGACTGTGGAACATAGTACCGTATCTTCGATAGTATGCCTACGGTCTTGGAAATTTTTTGGGAAATTTGTTGTTTATGTGTTTGAAATTTGAGTCTATTATCAAGGTGGATTCTTAAGAATTTTCCATCTGTGAGTTTTGTGATAGGTGATCCGTTTATCATTATGTTAAGAGGGACATCTGTAGCTCTATTACCAAACTGAATGAAGTAGGTTGTGTCAATGTCATCCAGGTAGATATTTTCTGTAATTCGGTATTTACAGTATGTATTGGCTAGCGTGGCTGGGCTCAGGTGAGAGAAGTCGTATGTAGTGTCATTTGCAAATAGTGTGGGTTTGAGTAGTTGTGATGCATTTGGTAGGTCATTTATGTATATGAGAAAGAGAAGAGGCCCTATGACACTTCCCTGTGGGACTCCAACTGTAATTGGCTGTGCGGAAGAGTTTGCCCCGTTTGTTTACACATATTGGCTTCTGTTGCTGAGGTAAGACTTTAGGTAGTTGAGGGAGTGCCCTCTTACAGAGAACTTTCACGGCGCGCATAACGGAGATAAAACACCTCAATTACTGGGAGCGCTTGAGGTTCCTGAACCTGTATTCCCTGGAACGCAGGCGGGAGAGATACATGATTATATACACCTGGAAAATCCTAGAGGGACTAGTACCGAACTTGCACACGAAAATCACTCACTACGAAAGCAAAACACTTGGCAGACGATGCAACATCCCCCCAATGAAAAGCAGGGGTGTCACTAGCACGTTAAGAGACCATACAATAAGTGTCAGGGGCCCGAGACTGTTCAACTGCCTCCCAGCATACATAAGGGGAATTACCAACAGACCCCTGGCAGTCTTCAAGCTGGCACTGGACAAGCACCTAAAGTCGGTTCCTGATCAGCCGGGCTGTGGCTCGTATGTTGGTTTGCGTGCAGCCAGCAGTAACAGCCTGGTTGATCAGGCTCTGATCCACCAGGAGGCCTGGTCACAGACCGGGCCGCGGGGGCGTTGACCCCCGGAACTCTCTCCAGGTATACCATAGTGCGACAATTTTATATGGAGCAAGTCATGGTCAACTGTATCAAAAGCTTTGCGTGAGTCAATGAAGATCCCCAATGGGACTTCTTTCTTCTCTATTGCAGTGTTTATGTTCTAGCATGTGTATAATAGGATCATTAGTATTTTTATTAGGCCTGAACCCAAATTGACAGGAGTTGAGTATGTTGTGGGAGATGAGGTAGGAATAGATTCGCTTATGAATTAATTTTTCAACCATCTGAATTATACTCTTGGTAACCCTACATTGCCTTTTAACTTGTGCTCTGAATTCTTTGCATAATATTTACATCTTACTGCAGTACTCACAACCCATGCCTCCCACCCATGTAAGTGTTGGTGCCACTGTACTCTGGTACATTCCTTTTTTTTTTCCTCCATATAATTTTTTTTTTTCACAGATGCTTCAACACACCACTTACCTCTCCCTCCTTTCATCTGTTTTAAGTCTCTCAGTCTGATATTCAATCTATTATTGCCTCAGACATTTTGTTACTCTCTTCACCTTGCTCTTTTCTGCACTCACTTTTAATTTCTTCTTTTACGTACCCTCCTAAATTCGTCCATTAATCTTTGCAGTTTGTCTTCAGAATCCCCCAGAAGAAGTGTATTACAACAAAGAGCAACTGTGATAACTCTTTTCCACACACCTCTTTCCAACACCCTAACATTTACTCATATTGTTCATTAATTTTATGTTAATAAAAACATGCATTTCAAATTCATATAAATTTATTGAAGAAATGTACAAAATGAGTAGAAATAATTCCTTACCATTAATATCAAAGGCTTGAGAAATGCTGTCATTATTTTATCTTTATACTTAGACATTAAATAAGACACAGTGTGAATTATTTTTTGTGCAATAAAAGGAACTTGAGTTCAAATATGTTATATACTGTATATGTATATATATATATATATACTATATATATATTAAAAGCATCATTCAGTTAACACTAAGAGCTAAGGCTTAACATGTATAGTCAACAATTCAGTTAAATGCCATAGCCTCTTTCTTAAGTGGCTCTTATAAAAAGTTCATAAATGCATTTGCTTGTTATGTCAAAAGCAATAAAAATGAACATGTTACTTGTTTGAGCATTTAAATGTCATGAATCTATAAGCAGAGACATGGCTGAAGAGATGAGCTTCTGATTGTACGAGTAACAGCCAGCTATCTGTAATAAACCCACTAAGTTGATAAGGATCTTAATGAAAATGATACTTTTCAATTTTGAGTTATCCAACTTACCCTAGTTAGAGCTGCATAATTTACCATCAATGTATAACAATCACCTGGTATGTGTAGTACTGTCTGTAAAATAATGCAGTTAACCTAAACAAATTGACTGACTGATAATTTATTTTATGGTGAAGGCCTCTTCAGTCGACTCCACTGCCATATATAAAAGATGTGATGTGTCTCCAAAACATATCTTAAGGTATGTACTATTTTCTATGTGAGCATTGTAATGTTTAAGTGACAGAGTTTATTTGAGTAATACCTACCAATTGAACAATGAGTGATAACTAACTGTATCAACCCTAGTCATATCAATCAAAAGCCTCTCTCCTGCCACACCCATCACATTATAAATTATGGAAGATAAGCTATATAATATGTTGCCACTTTTATCTTAGTAATCTAAGACCATCAAATTAAAAGACCGTCGTGGTCCTCAATGTCTTTCCAAAACTCTTTGGAGTGTTCTTACCATATTCTTAAATATTTAACTAGAGTGGGAGTTAGTGCTTCAACCTGACTGATCACAGCTTACATGAGGACCCTTCAAAGGGGTGCTTTGAAGCTGAGTGCTCTTGATCCAAGGAGTAGGAGTTACTCTACCTTTCCTGGGATTAAATCTGATTATCTCCCATTCGGCGCAGGTTCTGAATGACCCCCATCAAGCTCGATGTAACCCCTATTTATACTGTAATTTTACTTGGTGGGAGTCGTCTGAACCTGAATGGTTGTAACACATCTCTCGAGCAAGATTTAAGAATGTAGTAATGGGAGTTCTTTGGCATTTATAATAAAAGTAAAAATTTCTTTGGCTAAAGCTAGTTACCCTGTATTCTTCCCTCTGGGTGCCCTCAATACTGTTAACTTTTATTACCTTGGACTTTCATAGCCCTAATGTTTCTCCTAGATTTTGTTCTAAGTCATCTGTCATGTATTTTCTATAAAATGCATAAAAAAATTCCACCACCCTGCTTTTGTTTTTAGACTTGTAAATCTTTATTATTATTGTATTCTCCTCCCTCATTGTGTCTGTCCCTGTGGCATCTCTTCTAAACAATGCTTTTCTTCATATCAAGCTTTCTTCCTCCTTGCATTCTTCTTGTATAACTAATATGTATTTCATCATGGGCACTTTCATATCTTCTTTAAATCCAGCATTTTCTTTATCTCTATCTCACATATCTTCCTAATGCCACTTTCCTTTTGTATCTTACACCTACTCTCTTCTTAATATTCATTGTCTTCATCATCCTGATTAGAGTCCTGGGCTACCTCTTCATAGTCATGCTCCAGTGCTGCTAAGTCTTCACGAGCCTCGGCAAATTCACCCTCTTCCATGCCCTCTCCAACATACCTGTAGAGAAAACATGACACACTATCAAGGAAATACAGCGATAACATTTTTAGCCCCCAAAAATATAGTGTGAAAAAAAGAAACCATGAAATATAATTATTAAATAATGCAAATCATACATAAATGTTCATGGCTTTAAAATCTTAAAAAGAATAATACATTATCTTGATGATTTTTTACAATACAGTACAGTGGACCCCCGGTTAACGATTTTAATCCGTGCAAGAGGGGTAATTGTTATGCGAAATAATCGTTATGTGAATGAATTTTCCCCATAAGAAATAATGGAAATAAAATTAATCCGTGCAAGACACCCAAAAGTATGAAAAAAAATTTTTTTTACCACATGAAATATTAATTTTAATACACACAAACTGAAAAAGGCATGCACACTTACATGACACTTACTTTTATTGAAGATCTGGTGATGACTGATGGGATGGGAGGAGGGGAGAGCATTATCTTCTTACTGTTTAGAAGGGGAATCCCCTTCCATTAGGACTTGAGGTAGCAAGTCCTTTTCTGGGGTTACTTCCCTTCTTCTTTTAATGCCACTAGGGCCAGCTTCAGAGTCACTGGACTTCTTTCGCACAAGATATCTGTCCATAGTGGCCTGTACCTCTCGTTCCTTTATGACTTGCCTAAAGTGTTTCACAACATTGTCAGTGTACAGGTTGCCAACACGGCTTGCAATAGCTGTGTGAGAGTGATTTTCATCCATGAAGGTTTGCACTTCAAGCCACTTTGCACAGATTTCCTTTATCTTTGTAGTAGGCAACTTCTTCAATTTCTCTCTCCCCTCCTCTGAACCAGTTTCCCCAGGTCTGGCCTCTTGCTCTTGAAGTTGATCTATCAGCTCATCAGTGGTTAGTTCTTCATTGTCCTCCTCCACCAACTCTTCCACATCCTCCCCACTAACCTCCAACCCCAAGGACTTTCCCAATGCCACAATGGATTCCTCAACTGGCATAATCCTCTCAGGGTTAGCCTCAAACCCTTCAAAATCCCTTTTGTCTACACATTCTGGCCACAGTTTCTTCCAAGCAGTTCAAGGTCCTCTTAGTCACTTCCTCCCAAGCCTTACCTATAAGGTTAACACAATTGAGGATATTAAAGTGATCTCTCCAAAACTCTCTTAGAGTCAGTTGAGTTTCTGAGGTCATTACAAAGCACCTTTCAAACAGAGCTTTTGTGTACAGTTTCTTGAAGTTGGAAATAACCTGCTGGTCCATGGGCTGCAGGAGAGGAGTGGTATTAGGAGGCAAAAACTTCACCTTAATGAAGCTCATGTCCCCATAAAGTCGCTCTGCCACGTCTGTAGGATGACCAGGGGCATTGTCTAACACCAGGAGGCACTTAAGTTCTAATTTCTTTTCAGTTAGGTAATCTTTCACATTGGGGGCAAATGCATGGTGTAACCAGTTATAGAAAATTCCCTAGTGACCCATGCCTTACTGTTTGCCCTCCACAGCACACACAAATTATCCTTGAGGACATTCTTTTGCCTGAACGCTCTGGGAGTTTCAGAGTGATACACTAATAAAGGCTTCACTTTGCAATCACCAGTAGCATTGGCACACATGAGAAGAGTAAGCCTGTCTTTCATAGGCTTATGTCCTGGGAGTGCCTTTTCCTCCTGAGTAATGTAGGTCCTGCTTGGCATTTTCTTCCAGAACAGGCCTGTTTCATCACAATTAAACACTTGTTCAGGTTTCAGTCCTTCAGTTTCTATGTACTCCTTGAATTCCTGCACATATTTTTCAGCCGCTTTGTGGTCCGAACTGGCAGCCTCACCATGCCTTATCACACTATGGATGCCACTACGCTTCTTAAATCTCTCAAACCAACCTTTGCTGGCCTTAAATTCACTCACATCATCACTAGTTGCAGGCATTTTTTTAATTAAATCGTCATGCAACTTCCTAGCCTTTTCACATATGATCGCTTGAGAGACGCTATCTCCTGCTAGCTGTTTTTCATTTATCCACACCAATAAGAGTCTCTCAACATCTTCCATCACTTGCGATCTTTGTTTCGAAAACACAGTTAAACCTTTGGCAAGAACAGCTTCCTTGATTGTCTTTTTGGTGCCCACAATAGTAGCGATGGTTGATTGGGGTTTCTTGTACAACTTGACTAGGTCGGCGATACGCACTCCACTTTCATACTTATCAATGATCTCTTTCTTCATTTCAATGGGAATTCTTACCCTTATTGGTGTACGGTTGGCACTAGAAGCTTTCTTGGGGCCCATGGTCACTTATTTTCCAGAAACAGCACCGAAAACACTGTAATAATACGAAATATTCCGAGTGTATGCTTGGATGTTAGCGCGGAGGCTGGCTGGTAAACAATGGCACGGGCGGCACATGTGAGGCTGGCTGAGGGCGCACATTGGACGCGTCTCGGACGAAAATCGGTGAGCGGGTTTTTAATCGGTATGCGCGGCAAAAATTTTGCGATTAAAGTAAGCGGTATGCAAAATAATCGCTATGTGATGCCATCGTTATGCGGGGGTCCACTGTATACAGTACAGTATAACAAACTATGAATTCAAATCATTAATAACTAGATTACCATGCTTGAAATTCTTAGTTAATGTTATTATTCTGCCATATGTCTATCAGTACATTCCCTCGTAAATTAATATACCGAAGAACAGACACACTTTACAGAACAAACTTTTATTGGGACAATATTTCATTCTTTATCAAGTTCAAAGAACACTGTCCCAATTAGAGCTTATTCTGCAAAGTGATTCTTTTCTTCACTATAGTCAGCACAATGCCATTTAGTTCCAATTAATACATTTATCCACTAATCCATTCAGTAATAAACTCCTATATCCATACATTACTCATCCACATCCCACCATTCATCCATCCATTCATTAATATGTACACTAGTCAGTAAGTACTGACCAATGGACGAAGGCTCGCTTGGAGTACATAAGGTCAAATTTATGGTTGAGTCTGGCCCAGGCTTCAGCTATAGCTGTTGTATTGGAGATCATGCACACTGCACGCTGTGTAGGGGCCATATCCCCATTGGGAATCACCGTTGGAGCCTGGTAATTAATACCAACCTGTTGGGATGAGAGGAAGCAAGTTAGTGAGTTTGTTTTTGGTAAAAGTGCAATGTTAAACATAAATTTTTGTGGAGCCAATATTTCTCTTTTCCAATCACAGTGTGTCTTTTACCCACAATATATACTCTTATACGCCTACCATCCGACTTAAGACCTGCTCGACATACGACCACTCAACCATGTTTTGTATGCCAAATTTCTGGGAAATAAACAACTGTTTGTGTTGTACAGTGTTTATCCTAAACCTTACAGTATAAAATACAGTAATAACAGCATAAAAAGTAAAAAATGAAATACCCAAATAAAACAATAAAATAAAAACATTACAAAAATGTGATGTTGATATTCAGTAGTAAAGTTCGACTTATGTCCATTTTGACTTGCGACCAGTTGGTCGGAACCAAGCTTGGTCGTAAGTCGGATGGTACCTGTATATAACCTATAATGGATTTTCTTATATATAACCTATAATAGATATTCTTATATATAACCTATAACAGATACTCACATATAACCTGTCCTATAATAGATACTCTTATATATATAACTTATAACAGATACTCATAACCTACCAACAATGACCATCTTACCTTGAAGCCAGTGGGGCACCAATCGACAAACTGGATCTGTCTCTTGGTCTTGATAGCAGCAATAGCCGAGTTGACATCCTTGGGCACCACATCTCCACGGTACAGCAGACAACAGGCCATGTACTTTCCTGAAAGCATTACAGTAATGTAGATGAGTTAGGTGTACTGTTACATAGTAGCCATCAATGAATGTAGTTTTTCCCTGTCAAGAGTACAGTGGATCCTTGGCCAATGAAGGCATCGTCTAACGATAAATTCGTCCAATGAAGCGTTTGAACGTAAAAATTTTGGCCCAACCAACGATGAAAAACTCGACCAAGATGATTTGTCCCAAACCTGTCCGTCCAGCCTGAGTGCCTCAGCTGCCCTGCCGTCATTGTTTACAAGCCAGGGTGGACGGTTCCACGTATATATTCGATAAATTTGTATTATTCCATTGTTTTTAGTACTTGTAACTGCTAAATAAGCCACCATGGGCCCAAAGAAAGCATCTAATGCCAACCCTGTGGTAAAAAGGGGTGAGAAATATCATCGAAATACTATCAACTGCTGCTGCACCACGATCAGCTGTTGCTGCACCACCATCAGCTGTACTACTCGAAGATGTGGAAAGAGTGTTTTTGGTGTGGCTTAACGAGAAACAATTACTGAGAAACAAGAAACAATTAACCCCAGAAGGTTAGCCACCCAGGATAACCCAAGAAAGTCAGTGCATCATTGAGGACTGTCTAACTTATTTTCATTGGGGTCCTCAATCTTGTCCCCCAGGATGCGACCCACATCAGTTGACTAACACCCAGGTGAAGAGGAAAAAATGCCTGGAACTAGTGCTCATATTGGTGAATTTAAGGCCAGCAAAGGTTGGTTTGAGAGATTTAAGAATCGTAGTGGCATACGCAGTGTGATAAGGCATGGTGAAGCTGAAAAATTCCAATCCCCAACAACTGTTCATTTGTGACAAAACAGGCCTGTTCTGGAAGAAAATGCCAAACAGGACCTACATTACTCAGGAGGAAAAGGCACTGCCAGGACACGAGCTTATGAAAGACAGGCTAACTCTCATGTTTTGTTGTAATGCTAGTGGGGATTGCAAAGTGAAGCCTTTACTCATCTATCACTCTGAAAATCCCAGTGTTCAAGAAAAACAGTGTCTCATCACTCATCAATACTCTTCAATAAAGGTAAGTATCATTTTAACATTTATTTATGTAGTTATTGTGCATGTCTCATTGTTTTCTTTGTAGGTAAATGTATATTTCATGAAAAAAATTTTTTAATACTTTTGGCTGTCTGGAACGGATTAATTGGATTTCCATTATTTCTTATGGGGAAAATTAATTTGACTAACGATAAATTCGCCTAAAGATAAGCTCTCCGGAATGGATTAATATCGTTGGTCGAGGGTCCACTGTATAGTAATCACTCCATATTACCAACAAATTAACACTCCATAATGGCAACCTAACATTATAATACACTCCATATTACCCAACAATCATAAACACTCCATATTGCACAACAAACATGTTCTGTGCTAAGAATTTTCCTAAACAGTATTTTAAAAATTAACATTTCGAAATAATGAGGTTGTTGTGATAGAAAGTATGGTTTTTAGTCACTTTTTTCACTCTTTAAAAACACTAAGGTGTCATTAGGAGATACTGAATTTTGATAGGACAGCTTTCAAAATATAGAATGATAATTCAATACACTTAATTATATTACAGGAAATCTATACACAGTATATTTCAGCTGATTATACTGTTTCAGAATATTTAAGTTTTTACTTCTTATGTAATGCTTCATATGCTTCAGCAGACTATTAAATGTTAATATGAAGATGAAAAAGAAATTGAAGATGAAGTATATTCCCAAAAAAGACGGCCGACTTGTTGAAAAAAAAAAAAAATAAATAATAAGTAGAAGAGACTACAGGGTACAAGGTACTTATTTACTTACAGTATATATGGAAAGCCACTGAATATGCAGAGCATATTGGGCATGCTAAAATTGACTCAGCATTAGAATTTAAAAATTAAGAAAAAATTCATAGGTATAGGTAAGGTTTACATATTTAGCTTTATATGATAATAACATTGCTTCAATTCTTAAGAAGCTTCTGTACAGGTTTACATACCTCGCCTGGGGTCACACTTCACCATCTGGTTGTTAGGCTCGAAGCAGGCATTTGTAATCTCTGCAACGGACAGCTGTTCATGGTAGGCCTATGGGTAAATTTTTGGGTCAATGCATGAATGAAAGTTTAAATACTTTATTATAAATTGAACAAAGCCTTAGGTCTACGATAAACCATTTTACAAGTATCACCCACAATCACTGTAAATAGTCTGTAATATACTGTAATTCAGTGATACATTAAAATTTGATTAATGTTATTGTGCAAACTGTATTTTTAAACATTCAATATTATTGTATATAGAGCACAGTATTGTATTACTCCATTTTATTGTTTTATTACTTTTAAAGCAGCCACTTACCTTCTCAACACTGAGGACAGGAGCGTAGGTCACCAAAGGAAAATGGATACGTGGGTAGGGCACCAAGTTAGTCTGGAATTCTGTCAGGTCAACGTTAAGGGCACCATCAAACCTGTGGGTATTAATCACATCATCAGGGAATGTTTATAAACAAGACAATAGCTAAGGGTACTGTGACTCATGCCTGACCAGCCAGGCTGTGGTTTGTACGTCAGTTTGCATACAGCCAGCAGTAACAGCCTGGTTGATCAGTCCCTGATCCACCACAAGGCTTGGTCTCAGAGCGGGCTGCAGGGGCATTGACCCCCAAAACCCTTTCCAGGTATCCACAGGTAGATAAAGACAAAGACAACGATTTATTTCCACGATACAATGTTTGTACAGAGATGGGTGACATTTGGTTGTGCATGCAGAAAGCTTATGGTATGCAAAGCATTTCGGGCAGAGGGCTTATACTGGTACCTCCTTGAAAATGAAAGTAAGTTTATTTAGGTGCAGATACATATATGTACAATTATCATACATAGTGTAAATTACCTAGGATAACCCAAAAATTATTATATATGAAAGTAATATTCAGATGTTTATGATTTTTTTGAAGGAAGAGCTGGCTTGGAACAATATGTATTAAAATACATTTTTTAATATACCTGAGAGAGGCAGTTATGGAAGACACAATCTGGCCAATCAATCGATTTAAGTTCTCATACGAGGGACGCTCAATACCCAAATTTCTTCGGCAGATGTCATAGATAGCCTCATTGTCAACCATGAAGGCACAGTCAGAGTGCTCCAGAGTGGTGTGAGTCGTCAGGATGGAGTTGTAAGGTTCAACCACAGCTGTGCAGATCTGATGGAGCAACAAATGATGAAAGAAATTATTCTCAGACAGCAAGTGCAAATTAATGTACATGTTTACAGCACAGTAACAATGATTTCTCAGATATTATATAGTCTTTTAATTACTGTACTATCTACAGGGTGGATATTGGGTGACTACCATAAACAGATAAACAGGATGGGTATGAAGTTACTACTAGAAACAGGATGGGTATGAAGTGACTACCAGAAACAGAATGGGTATGAAGGGACTACCAGAAAATGCTATAGATATGTGGGTGAATACCATCCATAGGATGGGTATGAGGGTGATTATCACAAACAGGATGGATATGAGGCAACTACCATAAACAGAATGGGTATGAAGTGACTACCAGAAAACAGTATGGATATGGGGGTAAATACCACCATCAGGATGGGTATGGTGCACATAATAATACTAATAAACAAACTCTGACACAAACCTGTGGTGCAGGATAGACTGTGAACTGAAGTTTGCTCTTCTTTCCATAGTCCACTGAGAGTCTCTCCATCAGGAGGGAGGTGAAACCTGATCCAGTACCACCACCGAAGGAGTGGAACACGAGGAAGCCCTGCACAAATGCTAAGATAATGAGTGTTGACTACATAAAATGTTCTACTCTATAATTAGGCCTATAATCTGATTTTATTTTACTTTAGTCCAAGAAAGCATGCACACAAAAAAACTAGATTAATTTTTTTTTTATTTTAGACTAAAGCTCAAAGTAATATTTATTAATTAATATAATTATTTTTGACAATACTAAAAAATGAAAGGTACACGTACATTTTTTTTTTTTCAACAAGTCGGCCGTCTCCCACCGAGGCAGGGTGACCCAAAAAAGAAAGAAAATCCCCAAAAAGAAAATACTTTCATCATCATTCAACACTTTCACCACACTCACACATTATCACTGTTTTTGCAGAGGTGCTCAGAATACAACAGTTTAGAAGCATATACGTATAAAGATACACAACATATCCCTCCAAACTGCCAATATCCCGAAACCCCTCCTTTAAAGTGCAGGCATTGTACTTCCCATTTCCAGGACTCAAGTCCGACTAGTAAATGAAAATAACCAGTTTCCCTGAATCCCTTCACTAAATATTACCCTGCTCACACTCCAACAGATCGTCAGGTCCCAAGTATCATTCGTCTCCATTCACTCCTATCTAACACACTCATGCACGCTTGCTGGAAGTCCAAGCCCCTCGCCCACAAAACCTCCTTTACCCCCTCTTTCCAACCCTTTTGAGGAGGACCCCTAACCCTCCTTCCTTCCCCTATAGATTTATATGCTTTCCATGTCATTCTACTTTGATCCATTCTCTCTAAATGACCAAACCACCTCAACAACCCCTCTTCTGCCCTCTGACTAATGCTTTTATTAACTCCACACCTTCTCCTAATTTCCACACTCCGAATTTTCTGCATAATATTTACACCACACATTGCCCTTAGACAGGGCATCTCCACTGCCTCCAACCGTCTCCTCGCTGCTGCATTTACATCATATACGTATTATTATATATTACTGTATGATTTTTACTGTTATGTATGTATTAATTTATTTACAGTGAAGTTGGTGCCCTGCTGCTGGCAAAGACCTTTTAATTCATGGAAATGGAATTACTATCCATTTCCTTGGATGACACCTGAATAGTGAACCTCCCATTCCCATAGTGCTATATGACACGTATGGGTTAAGCACTTCCACGTGATTATAATGATAATTATAATATACAGTGAAGCACCAAAAATCCAAACTAAAAACTTTGGGACTTCAGGCGTTCAGGAAGTTTTCTTAAGGCCTCCTCAACCAATAGGCAATTGCAAGAGCCAGAGATACCACATCTCTTCCTACAAAACACCAGCAATTTATAGATATAATACTGTGCTTAATTAAGTTGCTTAATTAAAACCTTAAGAAAGCTGTCATCTTTTCTACTGTAGTTCTGGATGACTTCAGCTCTGACCAGTCCAGATTTAGGGTGCTCCATTGTATAGTTATCAGTTAAAAATCAATAATGAATATGGATGAAATATCAAAACGTTACATTGTTAATTAAATTATATCATCGACATATAATGTATTCCCATTATAAACATTTACTGTATATACGTATTTGCATTTTAAAAAATATTTTATTACACACAAAATTATACATATTTATAAAATAAAATAATAAAATTCTCTGTATTTATACAATTAGTGATTTCATTTTTTCCTGTCAACTATTCCCATGGACCATTTAGGTTCATCATGTATAATGAACACAGCCTTGAATTAAACTTTGCATACCAAATGTCAAAGAATCTCACTTTCAAAGATCACAACAATGTATCTATGCCATCTACTAGGAAAATGACAGGATGGATAATGAGAACCTTCAAAACTAAAGATGCCAAGCCCATCATAATTCTCTTCAAATTGCTGGGTCTCTCTATGTTGGAATATTGCTGTACACTAACTGCCCCCTTCAAGGCAGGTGAAACTGCAGACCTTGAGGATATACAGAGAACATTCATGGCACGTGTAAATATGATAAAGTACCTAAATTACTGGCAACGGTTGAGGTACTACGATTTGTACTTCGAACTCAGGCGAGAAAGATACATGATATTTTTTTTTATTAAACATATAAGTGAACAGTATTTAGATAAGGCTAAAGAGGTTTTTGTGGCATTTATGGATTTGGAAAAGGTGTATGACAGGGTGGATAGGGGGGCAATGTGGCAGATGTTCCAGGTGTATGGTGTAGGAGGTAGGTTACTGAAAGCAGCGAAGAGTTTTTACAAGGATAGTGAGGCTCAAGTTAGAGTATGTAGGAAAAAGGGAGATTATTTCCCAGTAAAAGTAGGCCTTAGGCAAGGATGTGTGATGTCACCGTGGTTGTTTAATATATTTATAGATGGGGTTGTAAGAGAAGTGAATGCGAGGGTCTTGGCAAGAGGCGTGGAGTTAAAAGATAAAGAATCACACATAAAGTGGGAGTTGTCACAGTTGCTCTTTGCTGATGACACTGTGCTCTTGGGAGATTCTGAAGAGAAGTTGCAGAGGTTGGTGGATGAATTTGGTAGGGTATGCAAAAGAAGAAAATTAGAAGTGAATACAGGAAAGAGTAAGGTTATGAGGATAACAAAAAGATTAGGTGATGAAAGATTGGATATCAGATTGGAGGGAGAGAGTATGGAGGAGGTGAATGTATTCAGATATTTGGGAGTGGACGTGTCAGCGGATGGGTCTATGAAAGATGAGGTGAATCATAGAATTGATGAGGGGAAAAGGGTGAACGGTGCACTTAGGAGTCTGTGGAGACAAAGAACTTTGTCCTTGGAGGCAAAGAGGGGAATGTATGAGAGTATAGTTTTACCAACGCTCTTATATGGGTGTGAAGCATGGGTGATGAATGTTGCAGCGAGGAGAAGGCTGGAGGCAGTGGAGATGTCATGTCTGAGGGCAATGTGTGGTGTGAATATAATGCAGAGAATTCGTAGTTTGGAAGTTAGGAGGAGGTGCGGGATTACCAAAACTGTTGTCCAGAGGGCTGAGGAAGGGTTGTTGAGGTGGTTCAGACATGTAGAGAGAATGGAGCGAAACAGAATGACTTCAAGAGTGTATCAGTCTGTAGTGGAAGGAAGGCGGGGTAGGGGTCGGCCTAGGAAAGGTTGGAGGGAGGGGGTAAAGGAGGTTTTGTGTGCGAGGGGCTTGGACTTCCAGCAGGCATGCGTGAGTGTGTTTGATAGGAGTGAATGGAGACAAATGGTTTTTAATACTTGACGTGCTGTTGGAGTGTGAGCAAAGTAACATTTATGAAGGGATTCAGGTAAACCGGCAGGCCGGACTTGAGTCCTGGAGGTGGGAAGTACAGTGCCTGCAAATAACAAAAAAGGCACAATACCGTGACTGGAACGATACACAAATAACCCGCACATAAAAGAGAGAAGCTTACGACGACGTTTCGGTCCGACTTGGACCATTGACAAAGTCACATAGTGTGACTTTGTCAATGGTCCAAGTCGGACCGAAACGTCGTCGTAAGCTTCTCTCTTTCATGTGCGGGTTATTTGTGTACAGTGCCTGCACTCTGAAGGAGGGGTGTTAATGTTGCAGTTTAAAAACTGTAGTGTAAAGCACCCTTCTGGCAAGACAGTGATGGAGTGAATGATGGTGAAAGTTTTTCTTTTTCGGGCCACCCTGCCTTGGTGGGAATCGGCCAGTGTGTTAATAATAAAAAAGAAAAACATCGGCCAATTCCCACCAAGGTAGGGTGGCCCGAAAAAGAAAAACTTTCATCATCATTCACTCCATCACTGTCTTGCCAGAGGGGTGCTTTACACTACAATTATAAAACTGAAACAGTAACACCCTTCTTTCAGAGTGCAGACACTGTACTTCCCATCTTTAGGACTCAAGTCCAGCATGCCATTTTCCCTGAATCCCTTCACAAACGTTACTTTGTTCACACTCCAACGGCACACCAAGTATTAAAAACCATTTGTCTCCATTCACTCCTATCAAATATGATCACGCATGCATGCTGAAAGTCCAAGCCCCTCACACACAAAACCTCCTTTACCCCCTCCCTCCAACCTTTCCTCGGCTGACCCCTACCCCACCTTCCCTCCACTACAGATTTATACACTCTCGAAGTCATTCTGTTTCGTTTCATAGTCTCTACATGTCCAAACCACCTCAACAACCCCTCCTCAGTCCTCTGGATAAAGTTTTGGTAATCCCGCACCTCTTCCTAATTTCCAAACTATGAATTCTCTGCATTAATATTCGCACAACACGTTGCCCTCAGACACGACATCTCCACTGCCTCCAGCCTTCTCCTCGTTGCAACATTCACCACCCATGCTTCACACCCATATAAGAGTGTTGGTATAACTATACTCTCATACATTCCCCTCTTTGCTTCCACAAAGTTCTGTCTTCACAGACTCCTCAGTGCACCACTCACCCTTTTCCCCTCATCAGTTCTATGATTCACCTCATCCTTCATAGACCCATCTGCTGACCCGCCCCCTCCTAAATATCTGAATACATTCACCTCCTCCATACTCTCTCCCTCCAATCTGATATCCAATCTTTCATCACCTAATCTTTTTGTTACCCCTCATCACCTTACTTTTTCCTATATTCACTTTTAATTTTCTTCTTTTACATGCGCTACCAAATTCATTCACCAACCTCTGCAACTTTTCTTCAGAATCTCCCAAAAGCACAGTGTCTTCAGCAAAATGCAACTGTGACAACTCCCACTTTGTGTTAGATTCTTTATTTTTTAACCCCACACCTCTTGCCTAGACCCTCGCATTCACTTCTCTTGCAACCCCATCTATAAATATATTGAACAACCACAGTGACATCACACATCCTTGTCTAAGGCCTACTTTTACTGGAAAATAATCTCCCTCTCTGCTACATACTCTAACCTGAGCCTCGCTATCCTCATAAAAACTCTTCACTGCTTTCAGTAACTTACCTCCTATTCCATACACCTGCCACATTGCCCCATACTGGATAGGGGGGCAATGATAATATATACGTGGAAAATCCTCGAGGGACTAGTTCTAAATCTGCACACGAAAATCACTCTCTGCGTAAGCAAAAGACTTGACAGGAGATACAACATCCCCCCAATGATAAGCAGGGGCACAACGAGTAGTACACTAAGAGACAACACAGTAAGTGTCAAGAGCCAAGACTGTTCAACTGTCTCCCAGCATACATAAGGGGGATTACCAACAAACACCTGGCTGTCTTCAAGGAGCTGAACAGGCACCTAAAGTCAGTACCTGACCAGCCAGACTGTGGTACGTACGTCGGTTTAGGTGCGACCAGAAGTAACAGCCTAGTTTATCAGACCCTGATCCACTGTGAGGCCTCGTCATGGACCAGGCCGTGGGAGCGTTGACCTCCAAAACCCCCTCCAGGTAATACCAAGTACTCAACCAGAATATAACTTCCAGTAGGACTGGAGTTTCTTACACAGAGTGTAGCTTCCAACAAAAGTGGAGTTTCTTATGCAGGGTATAACTTCCAGTAGGAGTAAAGTTCTCTACCACCATCTTACCTGGAGACCAGAGCAGGCATCAGCCATCTTGCGCATCTTGTCAAGCACAAGGTCGACCTGCTCTTTGCCAATGGTGTAGTGGCCTCTGGCATAGTTGTTGGCAGCATCCTCTTTTCCATTGATCAGTTGCTCTGGGTGAAACAACTGGCGGTATGGTCCAGTGCGTACTACATCTGCAGAGGCAAAGCAAGGTTAATTCTTCTATAAGAAATATTAATAGAAATATGAAGTTGGTCTATTGTATCTATACAAAAATAGGGGCAGTTTACCTGGAGTTTACCTGGAGAGAGTTCCGGGGGTCAACGCCCCCACGGTCCGGTCTGTGACCAGGCCTCCTGGTGGATCAGAGCCTGATCAACCAGGCTGTCACTGCTGGCTGCATGCAAACCAACGTACAAGCCACAGCCCGGCTGGTCAGGAACCGACTTTAGGTGCTTGTCCAGTGCCAGCTTGAAGACTGCCAGGGGTCTGTTGGTAATCCCCCTTATGTATGATGGGAGGCAGTTGAACAGTCTCGGGCCCCTGACACTTATTGTATGGTTTCTTAACGTGCTAGTGACACCCCTGCTTTTCATTGGGGGGATGTTGCATCGTCTGCCAAGTCTTTTGCTTTCGTAGTGAGTGATTTTCGTGTGCAAGTTCGGTACTAGTCCCTCTAGGATTTTCCAGGTGTATATAATCATGTATGTCTCCCGCCTGCGTTCCAGGGAATACAGGTTCAGGAACCTCAAGCGCTCCCAGTAATTGAGGTGTTTTATCTCCGTTATGCGCGCCGTGAAGGTTCTCTGTACATTTTCTAGGTCAGCAATTTCACCTGCCTTGAAAGGTGCTGTTAGTGTGCAGCAATATTCCAGCCTATATAGAACAAGTGACCTGAAGAGTGTCATCATGGGCTTGGCATCTCTAGTTTTGAAGGTTCTCATTATCCATCCTGTCATTTTTCTAGCAGATGCGATTGATACAATGTTATGGTCCTTGAAGGTGAGATCCTCCAACATGATCACTCCCAGGTCTTTGACGTTGGTGTTTCGCTCTATTTTGTGGCCAGAATTTGTTTTGTACTCTGATGAAGATTTAATTTCCTCGTGTTTGCCATATCTGAGTAATTGAAATTTCTCATCGTTAAACTTCATATTGTTTTCTGCAGCCCACTGAAAGATTTGGTTGATGTCCGCCTGGAGCCTTGCAGTGTCTGCAATGGAAGACACTGTCATGCAGATTCGGGTGTCATCTGCAAAGGAAGACACGGTGCTGTGGCTGACATCCTTGTCTATGTCAGATATGAGGATGAGGAACAAGATGGGAGCAAGTACTGTGCCTTGTGGAACAGAGCTTTTCACCGTAGCTGCCTCGGACTTTACTCTGTTGAGACTTTACTTGTTTTGAAGCAGCATTATTACAATTTTTATTTAAGGTGGCTGTGGGAATTCCCTTGGTGCCACAAATGAATAAAAGTAAATAATATTGTAATAATAATAATAATCCTGAAAAGTTCTAAAAATGAGCATCACAGCCTGGTTGATGAGAAATTGAAGTTCCCTCTTGAAAGTTAATGAACTGTTAGTAATTTCAAGTACTGTATATGTGAAGGGAAGGCACTGAAAAGTCTCTTAACTCTTTATGCATACTGAATTATTTTTTAGTGTACCTACTGCATCTCTGCTCTTTACTGTAGTATTTTGTATCATACACTTTACCTTTTGCTTTTATAGTGAGTAATTTTACTGTTTAAGCTTGGAACCAAGCTATACAGCATTTTCCAGTGTAAATTAAGGCCCCTTTACATATTTGTTACCTGAGTTCCAAATACTGTATTACAATTTGTTGGATTTTAGACATTACCAATAGTTTAGTGTTTGAAATAACTGATACCCTTGGCATCAGTTAGTGAAAGTTCTCTATACAATTTCCAAATGAAAGCATATCACCATGCCAGATATTGATTTTATTGACTTTCACTCTTTGGCGAATATTAAGCAGCAGAAACCATTCGCAATTCACTCACAGTTTGGAGAGGCACTTTTAAGCAATGCTTCTGTCCACTCAGGATCATTATTACGTCACAGGTGATAATGTTCCAGGCTAGACCGAGCATTGTTTAAAACTGCCTCTTCAAACTGCTCGTTCGTTCTGAAATATTTCTGTCATTGCACTGTAACTTTTATTCTTTGAAGGGCCATCTGCCCAAAACAGTGATTTCATTTGCATGCATTTTTGCGTATAATATAGAATAAGCGGTGTATTTTTGAAAGTATGAGTAGGTGTGGTTGAGTGTGAGCAGGACCTGCCTAGCATGAACCAACAGGCCTTCTTCAGTGCTCCATTATTCATATATATGCAATATATATTACTGACCTACTACGGTGGGTTCCAGATCAACATAAATGGCCCTGGGGACATATTTGCCTCGTCCAGTTTCTTGGAAGAAGGTGGTATACATGTTCTCTTCATGGGGCGCATCTTCAGCTGCAAGTAAGAAAGTCGAGTTAGATGCAACAAGTAATGTGCAATCATGTGACATTATACCCCTGCATGACCAACATGGCACCACATATCTAGGAGCTGTGAATATACTGGAAATACAATGCCTTTCAAGGAAAAGGATGGAAAGGAGGGGGGGGGGTTGCCTTGAGGCTGGTGAAGGATTGTGATCCACCTCCTCGGATCAAACATAATTACCCATTTCTATTATTCCTAAGGTTCTGTATTACCCTTATGGGTTTAGCATTATTCTATGAATATATTACTACCACTACTACTACTACAGTACTACTACTATTACTACTAATAATAATAAGTCCTCTTATAACGCACCTTCACAGCACTATTTTATTGTAATGTAGTTTAAAAAGAGCAACCCAAAATTTCAAAAGCTCGTGAAAATCTTGATATTACTCACCGTGTATTTAACAAAAATTAATTAAGTAACCCACGAAACCTGGGTAGTGCGCTCCATAGACTTATTTAATCTGCTCGTTGACGGCCTCAAACGTTCAGTTTTCCAGTGTTATAATGGTATTTATGGTACTTCTCTTGGTAATTACTTCTTCAAATGCATTCATCTAAATATATGTTATTTTGGCATAAGTGTGGAGAGACCCTATTTGTTTGCTAATATATATATATATATATATATATAATATATATATATATATATATATATATATATATATATATATATATATATATTATATATACCTGGAGTTTACCTGGAGAGAGTTCCGGGGGTCAACGCCCCCGCGGCCCGGTCTGTGACCAGGCCTCCTGGTGGATCAGAGCCTGATCAACCAGGCTGTTGCTGCTGGCTGCACGCAAACCAACGTACGAGCCACAGCCCGGCTGATCCGGAACTGACATAAATGACATAAATATTTAACTTATTACACTTAACAAAGCCAATTAATATGTAGTATTTTCCTTGAGTGTTACCAATACTTAAAAGAGAAAAATGCTAATATTTACTGATGTTAAATTTCAATTAGTGGGTAGTGTTTACTGAGGTATAACGAGTAGTGTTCACTAAGGTATTATTGTACTGAAGACTGAATGAGTTTACTCACAGAGGTGACCGTCAGGCTGGATGCCATGCTCAAGGCAGTATAGTTCCCAGCAAGCATTGCCCATCTGCACGCCAGCCTGCCCGATGTGCACGCTGATACATTCACGCTGTAACAAATATATTTCATTAAAAAAAACGGTAGGCAATGTCTACTGTAATGAAATGTTATATGACACAGGTCCTATGTATATGGAGTGTGACTGTGATCTGGTGTAGGAAAAACAATAGCCTACATCCACTGGTGTTCTAGGATGTGATCCACAAGTCTAAATTACAGGTATCTATTGATTTCTAGGTAAATGTAGACAGCAGGTGTAAGGAGACTTGTCAATACGTTCTGCCCTGCCCAGGGATCGAACCCGGGGACTTTCAGTTTTGAATCTAAAGATTGGACACTGAAGTACAGGCCATCAACAAGACGTATTTCATGTATACATCGCGGAATATACATGTGAGGCCACCAACAAGATGAATTTACAATATACATCACAGAATATACATAAGACTACCAACATCACGGAATATACATGAGGCCACTAACATCACGGAATATACATGAGGCCACCAACATCGCGGAATATACATAAGACCACCAACATCACGGAATATACATAAGGCCACTAACATCACGGAATATACATAAGGCCACCAACATCACGGAATATACATGAGGCCACCAACAAGATGAATTTAATATATACATCACGGAATATACATGTGAGTTTATGCAGCATTTAGAATTTATATGTGAATTAATTAAATAAGTGAAAGAAAGATATACATACGACTAGCCAAGAATTCAACTTACTGTATAAAGTTAATTTATTTTAAACTTCCATTTAGTCTATGAAGTGATTTTTAAATCAATGGAAAAAGAGAATAGGTTAAACATTACATAATTTAGACATGCAAGAGAGCACTACCAGTGAGTGGTGCTCGCATGACAGTATACAGTGTGAACTGTTGCAATAAGAGTAATGCAACAGGCAGACAGACACACGCCTTCCCAAACTGCACTCAACTCTACTTACACTCACCCAACAAAATAGGAAAAGTTATCTGCCATTTCACATAGGCAAGGCAAGGATGATACTAAAACGGGAGACAAGAAGCTTAAGTCATAATACCGTGGATGGAACAATTTAAAAAAAAACATACCTTGGAAAGGAAACTGCAACTGTTGACAGTCCAATTGTTTGGCGATCTTAATTTCAAAGATTTATATAATATGGAATATATGGCTATCAGTCTATAATTCTTCGCTATTGCTTTGCTGCTAACTTTGTGTAGCGGGGCTATATCCGCTATTTTTAGCGACTGTGGGATGACCCCCGTGTCTAGGACCCCTTTCCACAGAATATTTAAGGCACGCGATGAGTTTATTACAGTTCTTGAACACGGAGTTCCAGGAGTCTGGACCCGGGGTAATGTGCATGAGCATGTTGTTAACTGCGTTGTCAAAGTCCGGTGGTGTTAGGGTTATATCAGAAATTTTGGAGATATCGACAAGGCTTTCAGTCTCGTTCATAAAAATATCAGACTGTAGACCTATATTCTGATTAACGGCTCACTAAACACACATTAAGACTCCAGTATCTCACTCATTTCATTGCTGTCAACAGTATAAGTCCCAACTTCTTCGAGCAAGTGCTCAATACTGGGTGTGGTTTTCGCCTTGGATTTTGCATATGAGAAGAAATATTTAGGATTTCTTTCAATTTCATTAACTGCTTTTAGATCTTGTATGATTAGCGCTTACCCATGAATAGAATAATAATAATAATAATAATAATAATAATAATAATAATAATAATAATATATTGACAAACAGCTAGGGATATTTAGAAATTAACATATAAATCAAGTAAACAGACTGTGTAAGTAGCAGATAGATAGGGAATGGGCGAGAGACGTAAATAGACAAGAGTGTGAGGTGGCGGGGCTTACCATGAGTGTGGCTAGTCGAGTGTGAGGTGGCGGGGCTTACCATGAGTGTGGCTAGTCGAGCGTGAGGTGGCGGGGCTTACCATGAGTGTGGCTAATCGAGTGTGAGGTGGCGAGGCTTACCATAAGTGTGGCTAGTCGAGTGTGAGGTGGGGAGGCTTACCATGAGTGTGGCTAGTCGAGTGTGAGGTGGGGAGGCTTACCATGAGTGTGGCTAGTCGAGCGTGAGGTGGCGGGGCTTACCATGAGTGTGGCTAATCGAGTGTGAGGTGGCGAGGCTTACCATAAGTGTGGCTAGTCGAGTGTGAGGTGGGGAGGCTTACCATGAGTGTGGCTAGTCGAGTGTGAGGTGGGGAGGCTTACCATGAGTGTGGCTAGTCGAGCGTGAGGTGGCGGGGCTTACCATGAGTGTGGCTAATCGAGTGTGAGGTGGCGAGGCTTACCATAAGTGTGGCTAGTCGAGTGTGAGGTGGGGAGGCTTACCATGAGTGTGGCTAGTCGAGTGTGAGGTGGGGAGGCTTACCATGAGTGTGGCTAGTCGAGTGTGAGGTGGCGAGGCTTACCATGAGTGTGGCTAGTCGAGTGTGAGGTGGCGAGGCTTACCATGAGTGTGGCTAGTCGAGTGTGAGGTGGCGAGGCTTACCATGAGTGTGGCTAGTCGAGTGTGAGGTGGCGGGGCTTACCATGAGTGTGGCTAGTCGAGTGTGAGGTGGCGAGACTTACCATGAGTGTGGCTAGTCGAGTGTGAGGTGGCGGGGCTTACCATGAGTATGGCTAGTCGAGTGTGAGGTGGCGAGGCTTACCATGAGTGTGGCTAGTCGAGGGGGGGATGGGGAAGGGTGATGTGGTGCATGAGAGGAGGTGAGGTAAGGTGGATGACAAGGGATAGGTGGCGTAAGGGAGCGGTGGCGGCATTGTAGGGGATTGTTGCAAAGTGGGTGGGTGAGGTGGGGTTGGGTTAGGGGATGTCTGTTGTTGGGGAGGGAGGGGGTTGCAGACGTCTGGTCTGACCCGTGTGAATAACACACACACACACACACACACACACACACACACACACACACACACACACACATGATTCATACCAAACTACATAAAATATGTACATATTTCGATTTGTATAGTAGTGGTCGATGCAACTACAGCCAGTCTAGACACCTTGTAAAGTGAAAATTCACCACTCTTACGTGAAAAATACTTTACCATATATATATATATATATATATATATATATATATATATATATATATATATATATATATATATATATATATATATATGGTGGTTGTTTTGCATATATATATATATATATAATATATATATATATATATATATATATATATATATATATATATATATATTATATATATATATATATATATATATATATACACACTCGGAAACGGGCACAACAGCCACAAGATGACAGGGGAAGATTCAAGCTGCTTTAAGCTTTTCGCATTATAAACGCTTCTTCAGGGACAATGCAGGGCAAAAACAAGAGTTAAATTATTATTATAATCAAAAAGAAGCGCTAAGCCACAAGGGCTATACAGCAACAAGAGTTAAAATTTCAGTGAGGTTGAGACAGTCTTGCGTCTAGGAAGATTATTTACGTGAGAATGAGGATACGTATGGTTGTGTTGCTACTATTAGTGGAGACGAGGTTTAGTAACGGGAGACAGCCTCGTAAATTATAAAAGATGAACAGGTGGTCAGAAAAGGTCGGCAGAATCCACAATCTTCTCTAAATTGACGTCGCATATAAGGTCACACCGACATTTAAAGGTCCACAGGTTGGCCATGTGAGGGGGGGAAACCAAGAGAAAAAGTGTCTGAGCTTTAAGTGTGTGAGCTTGGATACACCCACAGTGTGATGCTACACTATTCTGTAAGCTAAGTGGTGGGAACGTCTGTAACTGCTCAACAAGACTTATAACTGTTAGTAATAATACATCACAAATTATATATACTGATGGATGTAAGCAGGGGTCTACTGGCAAGGCTGCATGATTTTATTTCCGCCTCCCTGAACTGTTTGCCATCCTGATGGCACTAACATTGACTCTGATTATTGATGATTCTGTCATCAGTGAAGAGGTTTTGCTCACTTAATGACCAACAACATGCCCATTAGGAGAAGCCAGGTATAGATACTAAATAAAATACAGTATACCTGTAGAGGGTTTCGGGGGTTGACGCCCCCGCGGCTCGGTCTGAGATTAAGCCTCGTGGTGGATCAGGGTCAGATCAACCAGGCTGTTACTGCTGTACTAATGTACAATTCTTATGGATTCCATCACACACACTGAATTACTCCTTCAAGATAAACTTAGTCAAAGAAAGTGCCCCGAAGGAAAATGCAGAATATATCTTTGGATACAGCAAACTAGTAAACTAGTCCCTAGCTAAAATCTAAAACACAAGCAGTTTGAGGTTACACTTGAAGATGATAGTTACAGTCTGGGAACCCCGGCAGTGTAGGATGGGAATATCATCAAACATTCCACTATGGGCGCAATATGTAACCGCACCTTCAAAGGTTTTTCCCCCTGACAAAAGCTAGAGTTACTGTTACTTGGTCATTACCATCTGTCAGGTGCCTTAACACAGAGGAGAGCTGGTAGGTGTTAGAGGTGTGTGCTGGAGCAAGACGAGGAAGTGTACACTCACTCATGTACATCACCTGCCTCGCTTCATCAAACACTAGGATGACTCATCGAGTATCACCAATGTTCATATCACACTCGAAACCTAATTATAACTGGTTCCAAATAGCTTTTATTATTATTATTATTATTATTATTATTATTATTATTATTATTATTATTATTATTATTATATTATTTCAACGAACCGGCTGTATCCCACCGAGGCAGGGTGACCTTAAAAGAAAAATAAAAGTTTTCCTTTTTAAATTTAATAATTTATACAGGAGACGTGGGTTACTAGCCCCTTGATCCCGGCATTTTGGTTGCCTCTTACGACACGCATTATTATTATTAGTAGTAGTAGTGGTAGTAATATTATCATTATATTAATGGGGAAGCGTTAAATCCGTAGGGGACATACATAACCCGAGGAATGCGAGGCAATAACATTCAATCCAAAAATTAATGTAGCTTCAACTCATTGAATCAAGAGCCCATCGCCTTTCTCCCCA